CGCATAGATCTAATCAAGTACGTACCTATATTTTATCAAAAACGAACGTAAAATGTATTTTTTTTTATATATATATATTTTTACTCATTTTATTATTATAGAAAAAGAGCCAAAATCCTCCAGAACGAAAACGTGGTAGACCATCCGGCTCCAACAGAATTCCACTATCATTGGTAAGTTTTCTTCTACTGTCTACATTTTATTTATTGATGATACCTAATAATGCCTGACTATATATAGGGAGATGAATGTATCTTTTTCTGTCATTATTAAGATTTTTTATACTAATATTGTAATAGAAAATCACTTAAATCATATTTAGTATTTATCTTCACGTTTTGCCCCACAGGAAGAACGCCGTGCCCGTAATGCACAATACGAGAGGGAGCGACGTAACGAAACCACTGATGCCATGTCCCAACTAGCAAGAGCCTTAAAATGCAATATAAAGGTAATAATAATCTTTTTTTTAAAATCACCCAATTTTCAAAATGAATTGCTGCACAATAATAAAATGCCGATGTTGGTTCCAAAAATGTCTTATATCGGTCTTTGTTTCTCCATTTATATCTTATTTTATTATTTAATTCATATTTAATGGTAATTATTTAATTATTAATTAAACATTTGTTTAGAATTAAAACAGTAAATATTCTTTCTATTTCTCCTTTATTAATTTTTTTTTGTTTGTACTCAGATGTCGAATGTAGATTTGCTGGCTACTGCCTTGTCTACCATACAAAGAGCAGCGGAACGAGATCCTACAGACAATATAGAACGATTAACAAGAATCAATAATAACCTGACATCACAAAGTATGTATTTTGTATTATTTTCTAATTCTGATAATGTTTTAGAATGAAGTGCATTATGCACTTTTTTTTTTTCAATCAATTATATCATATAGTTTATTAACATATATCATAAAAAGATTCTAATAATAAAATTTTAAAGAATTTATTTGAATATTCTGTTATGCATTTAATAAATAGAATGTTATTTACAGTATGCAAATTGCAAGAACAACTAGAAAAAATTGGAGTTTACGTTGACGACGACTCTGATGATGATGACGATGATAATTATGATACTAATGTAAGTGAAAACTATTTAATATTTATATTTAATTATAATATTTAATTACATGTCTATTGTAATCGCAAATTTCATGTAACACTTCTTCTCCAGGAATCGAATTTAAGTCCAACATCAAGTGAGGCGTCTTCCGAGTACAGGAATACGGAAAACACGGAGTCTGTTGATTTAGACCCTTTATTAAATAGCCTGAGTAAGTATTACATTACAGTATATTTGATCGTTATATTTTTCTTTAGATATTATTTCAAATGAGAAACTATATCTGTTTGATGCCTAAACCGCTGAATCGGTTATGGTGAATTTCACTCTTACGTAAACTACATCAACAAATTTCTTTGTTTATATTTTTTATACAGGTATTTATTCTTTATTGGACTCAAAAATATAGTAACAAAATTAATTAGAGACAATAATATAGAATAAAAGTGAATTTGTATATTTTTATAATTAATGATTTTAATCAAATCAATTTCATTCTAGGTGATTCGGAGAAAGAGATGTTATTCGCGATAGTAGGCCAAATACAAGATGGGGATTAGAGATAATATTTTATTATTTCATCGAATATTTTGAAAACCCACATAGCGTTTCTAAGGTGCGTATTTTAAATTATATTTACCTATATTTTTTACTTATGACTATTTATTGTCATATTTATTAGAGTGAATAAATAAGTAATAATGCAAAACTATTTAAATATGAATAGTACAAATTATTAAAAATATTTTCTTTGCCTATCTACCCTTCCAGATCCAGTTATTGTTCCTGTAGTAATTATCGATAATAAATTAAATGACAGTTTAGTAATTTTACAATTTTCTTTTTTATATTCTAGAACCAAGGGGGATTGTAGAACCTACAAAATTCGTCAGAAGACTATCTATTGTAAGTAACCCAAATTTATAATGTCGCATATATAGCATTTTTGTAATTAGTAGCATTGGTAATAAATATACAGATTTATCTGTATAATTATTTTAATTAATATATAAATTGATTAGTACTCTATGATTAACTTATACGGTATACAAATTACATAATGTTGAGATTATTTAATAAATCTTTAATAAAGTAAAACTACATATAATAATTACAGATGTCAATATTAATTTCTATCTCTGAGAAAACATTATACCTACATGTAGTATAGTATATATTGCTTAAATTACTTTATAAAATAATAATAATATATAATTTATATTGCCTAAATATTTTTAAGATTTCTTAATGATATATATATTTTATGAAATATTTTGCTTTTGTTTCAGGCATGGTGAATAAATATTTAAGGATTTATAAAATAAGTAATGGCGGATGTATAGTGTTTAATTTTAAATTATTATTGTATATATTAAATAAGTTGTTGAATTTTAATGAAATAAATTAAATATGACTCAAATTATTGTTTTTTTAAACACTCCTACTGTAGCAATCTATTGATTTACCATTATAAAATTGATGCATAAATCAGTTGAGTAAATGTAAATATTAATAATAACTTTTTGTTTATATTTATAAACTTTTGCTTTTATTTATGAAATCGAGTAAAATAAATAGCAAAACTATTTCAGTTAATATTAGGTACAATTAGTTTATACATCACTATTTTTCTTTACATACCTAGGTACTAAACATTATTTTGGTGGTTTTTATAACCAAGGTTTAGTCACTAGGTATATAATTTTTTTTCAGTGTAATTATGAAATATGGAAAATAGAATTAAATTATTCAAACGAACTAGCAGTGAATGTATATTTTTATATTATAAAAAATGTTGAGATTGAATATATTTTTTTTATGTTAGGTCCTGGTATGGACCTAATATTAAATAGAGATATTTTAAGTTTAGTTATAAACAGTATCTACAAAATATGTATAAACAAATATTTTTACTTACCTATCTACAGGATTAGTCGTTAAGAGTACAACCCAGGTAGTAAGCCGGTATGAAATGTAAATATTTCACCAAGAAACAAAGTGCTAATGTGAAAATAAATTTAGACGTCTTTATAAGTACTATGACCGAGCAGTTTCTACTAAGTAAACTCTTTATGGGACTTTTAATTTAAAATATAACATTGCTAATTGCTATAGGTACCTAAATAAAATCCCGAGTAAGCTTTAATTTATCTCAACAAATGATCACTTTCAGCTGACTAATGCTGTGATAGTATAGAAAGGTAATTTTCTACGAGTATAAAAGTTTTTAAAATTATATTCAATTTTCAACTTTATTTCTTAGAGAAATGTGTTTTTAACCGTTTATACTATTGAATAGTAATTATAAATGCAACATTCTCTCTTTTTATTAAATTTTCATGACAAAACCGATTTATATGACATACCCGTGTGGGTTATCTTTATCTAATCTGAGTGTGAAATTAGGATGAAAGAATTTTTCGCAGACGAAGTAGTAGGTAACTATATGTATTAGGTATTACTAATAAAGTAATTTGGCTATGCGTATTTAACTGTCAAAATGTATGAAGGTTATTTTAATATTTAAGAAATCCTAAGTCAGTTGTTTTGTAACTGTCACATAATCTGTCGTCACTTGTCTTGTTGTTTTCCTTAAATAATATATTTAATAAAAATATCAGCATGTCACTTATTGAAATAACGGCGAACAAAATGACAAAATCACAATAATAAAAGATATTTCTTGTCATTCTGATTATATTAATGTAGCTATATTCTTCATCTTAGCCGTCTTATTTTTAAAACTACAAATATTCATTACTGACATAAGCAATTTCCTAAGAAAATTTGCTAAATATGTCACTTATTACCTACTTAATATAAAAGGAAGATAACCTAGGTATAGAACCTAAGTATACCTTTTTATATAAAAACCTAGACTTTATTAAAAGTCGCGAAGACTAGTCTAATAGTCTCAATTAGGTGGTTATAAAAATTATATTTGATACCTAATTTTAACAAAAATGCATTATCTACGAGATTAGCACTGAAATTACAATTTATACTGTTTCATAATAGTAACTATTTTTCATCATAGCCATTATATAGGTAATATTTGTTTTAAAAAAATATTAGCATGTATACCTACATAACTTTAATTCTTAAGGAGGAATAATCTTATAATTATGAAATATATTCAATACTTATACATATAAATAGGTACATTGCTAATGTTATCAGATCTACTATAAAATAATTCTTATCTTCTTACTTCACATAGTAAGTAGTGGTTATTTGTACTAACAACCACTACATAGACACTACACTGAAAATGTAATATAATTTTAATCTTAATAATATTATAAATGCGAAAGTTTGTGAGTATAGATGTTTGTTACTCTTTTCCGCAAAAAATACTGAACGGATTTTAATAAAACTTTACAGTAATATAGCTTATACATCAGAATAACATATGGGCTATATTTTTTATTGAAATTTAATGTGGGACAAACAGCGGGTTAGTAAAACATATAAAGATGTAAAGATTTGCCTGTAATTAACTCAACAAAATGCTTATATATTCTTACACCCTTAAAAATGGCTATTATCAAATAACTAGACTGTATTTAATTATAAAATAGAGATTATATATTAATAAATTGATTCCTACATCATAAGGCTATTCGCCTTGGCATTGACCATAAAAGCAGTTGATATATTTTAGCAATAAAAAGTATTGTTTAAACAATCACAATAAATTGTTAATATTCGGAGAACACCGGTATATAACTCCCACTTTCCAGTCATTATCATTGGCACCGCCCCTATTTTAAGGTGGGGATAGACGTAGATGCGCCGGAGTGGAACGTGCGTTCTTTTTCAAATAAACATTGTAACTTAATATTTGGTTGGCGTAGTGTTTAAGTGTTGTTGCTATTCGATGTGAAATTATACAAAATAATACTTTATTAAAATATTATAAAATGACATCAAAATTTTTGGACCAAGTACGTATATTTTTATTATATTTATTTTTTAATATAATACTGTAATGCAAGTACTCTTGATGGTAAATGGCAATCAGTCAAAATCATTTATTCAATGACCTTTCGACCTCTCGTGCATGTCATATTTTTTATTACCAACCCTAGATACCATCCAGTGCCACTAGCTACTTCAGAACTGGGAAGAAACTCAACTGGTATATTTTATATGATATTATTTTTTAGACAAATTAAATCTTTAATATTAGATATACATATAGCATATAATAATAATAACCCTGGAAACACACCAGGCCATCCAATTTCAAGCTTATGTTATGGTTACTAGATAACTGATATAAATACTTACCTAGATATTTTTTTAGGAACGGAGACGTGGTAGACCAGCTGGTAAAAATAGGGTTCCATTAACATTGGTAAGACATTTGACTTATTTAGCAGATTTTTCTAACAATAAGATCTGTGCTGTTTTGTAAAATACGATAAAAACTATTGCTAAACTACAAATAACAATATCTCTAATAATACCTACCTATCAATAAAAGAGTATTTTAGCTCAAACGGTTATATATACTTCAAATTGAGTTGAAAGATTCCACCCAAACAAAAATAGTTACTTATATTGCAAGTTAAAAACTTAAGAAATATATAAATATTATTTAATTAATTGTCAATTTATTTTATGTATCTTTGTATATGTTATATGAGATATTTATTTATTTATTTATCTATGGTTTTCGATGGGCCTTTTTGAATTGGATATCATTTATTCCTCTCATTGTCTAATACTAAGTATTAGAAAACTATGAGAGGAATAAATGATTCTTATGTACTGATTTTTTGTATTTTTGTGACATGATTTTTCATTATTCCATACCTATTAGTTTTGGCTATATTGTTTTATGAGATGAATTGTTTTGTTAAGAATATGTATTTTTATTTTTTGTTAATTGTTTTGTAGGAAGAACGCCGTGCCAGAAACGCTCTCTATGAGAAAAAGAGAAGAAACGAAGCTGCTGATGCCATGGCTGAGCTGGCAGAGGCATTGGAATGTGATCCCAATGTTAGCATCCTTTTACATTCACAATTCGATAGATATTGTATTCTCTTTGTCTATTTGCCATATAACTCTGAGGAAATTTAAATCGCTATTCTATATAGGTACCTACCTATATAATTAAAAAAAATTGCAATTATTATTTATAGATAATATAAATAGTATAGTTAATTATTATAATGTATTATATACCTACCTAAGTTTTAATGTATATAGGTAAATAGGTTTATAACTTTTTTGTTTTTTGTTTTGTAGATTTCGAATGCTGATGTATTGAATAAGGCCATCAATAAAATTCAAAATTCGGCACCAGGACTCTCAGAAGACATAAGCCATCTGAATTGTATTAATAATAATCTCATGTACCAAAGTACGTATTGTACGTATATTACCTATACAGATTTACAAAGAAGTCACGTCTCTTCTTAGCAGGCTTAAATTTTATAATATAGGTTATAAAATTCAATTGTCATAACTGAATCTTATAAATAATCGGGATGAGCTGAAAGTGATTATAGAAACTGTGTATTAAAACAATCCAACTTCATGTCTTTAGGACTTCTTTAATTTCTATCAAGAGGTATCTATCTACCTTACCGACTGACGAATTGACTAGACTGTATGGATCCTGAAGCTCATCATTACATAGTATAAAATAAATTCGCTGTCGCCGCCTGTCCCTATGTATGCTTAAATCTTTAAAACTACGTAACGGATTTTGAAGCGGTTTTATTTAATAGATAGAGTGAGTCTAGGGAAAGGTTTATATATGTAATACACGGCTTCGCACGGGTATTGCGAAGCCGGGACGAGGAGCTAAATATAAATAAAAATATATGATATAAGATTTAAATTTATTTTATTATTAAGTAATCTATATTATACTTACTCACCTAATATGTAAACATATTTCAGTAAATAAATTGCAACGAAAACTAAAGGGCAGAGTATGTGTTGAAGAGGATATGCATGTAAACTCAGATGTAAGTAAATAAATATGATAATTCAATTTCTTTTTAAAAAATCTAAAGAGGTTGCATTGTATTCTTAATTATAACTTAGTCGTACACTACTCGTACTCGTTAGTCTTTCGACGTTTATTTACTGTAATCATTTGTATAGTTACAGTTACAAATCGGCAACCAATCAAAAATTGACAAGCGACAAAAAGAAAACAGACAAAGGCCATCTAGACAGACTACAGCACATACAGTATGTATAAACTAAAAAATATATAATAAAATATATTATGTACTTATACTTTGCCTATGTTCGTAACGTCTCCGTTTTTCTTTTCAGGGACTAGTGATGCCACATGAATCACACGTAGACTCAGCACATGGAAATCCTATAGGTAAGACTCAAATTTTAACAACCTACATATTATCTTCTTATCAGTTATAATGATTTCAAGAGAATGAAAATATAATTTATTTAATTAATTTAAACTTACTAAAGTGCTTTACTCTATAAAAAAACTTTCATTACAAATTGACTGGCTAGTTATAATAATAACAAACAAATATAAATAACTCTATGGGTCAGTACGGCTTTATCTAATCAATTAGTATGTAATTTTTCGAGCTTTTAAATCTGATAACGACATTTAAATACGCACAACTACCTTGAACTTCCCTATTTTTAAGCTGTCGCACTTTTACTATTTACTACTTTAATTTTTAATATTTTAAAATAAACGAAACAGAAAAGCTATATTAAATAGTAAAAATATAAAATAGTAGTTACAATGAGTGATTTACTCTTATGAAGAATATTTTGCAATCAGCATTATATAAGTAGAGACATCTACTTTTATCACATTCCACAGATTATTCGCAGACGGAGCTGTTATTTGATATACCTCTACAAACACAGGACTGGGACTAGTGAAAATTTATCGTCACATAAAATCTTTCAAATTATTATCCTGTAAGTAATACTGGGTGCGTATTCAACTTTATTTTTTATTTACATATAGTTCTATATTTCATCATATTAAATACCTATATAATATTAGTAATCTATGCGCATATAAATATAGTATCCTCTTCTTTTATTATATCCATAAATACGAAATATAAAAAATAACACAAGTTGAGATAATTAAACAACGGGAAAAGCAGGTCATAATATTTTATCCGTTGTAGCAGAATCATGATTAAATATAAATCTTCGGACAGTTGTAACAATAAAATATAAATTGAGAGTCCAAGATTCTTTGTATTTATTACAAAATAATATTGATATATTTATTATTGTTTCAGGTACGCCATTTATTAAAATTGAGGTTTTATTAAACATTGCAAATAAAATACATAAAATTGTATTAAAACTTTGTTATGCTGCATGTTATTGTAACCTATCAATAAAAATTCTTTAATATAATAAATGTGATTTTAATTTTTACTCAAAATATACCTACAGTACCTTTAGTAGTTTGTTACAGTGGCATTGTAGACAATTCCGTAGACTTTTTATACATTATTTTAAATACAGTATTATTGTAACAAAGCACAAAAATATTTTCGTTACTATCTAGTTAATAGGGAACTCTTAGTACAACTTAGTATCAAACAGTTAAATAATGTGCAAGTTTGATACCGAGGCCAGATTACAGATTTTACTCAGAATTTACTCTGGACACTAATTCGGAATCTATGACATTGGGTTCCGCCGTTTCATACTTTCGAATTACAAACATACAAATTATAATAAATTAGTTCCACAAATCACAAAATATAACTGACAGTATTATAAATTTATTCGATTTAGTGTTGATTACTTTTCACAATAACAGTGAAAAAATGGCTTGGATCTAATAAACACTAAAGTGAGATGCGCAGATCGTAAAATATCAACAGAGCTCATAGTATAGAATGTTTTATTAAGTTAAAAGTTTCAATTAAGAATTTTATTAAGTTACAATTTCGTAATAGATAAAATATATATGATTAAATGATCAATTATAAACAATAAGCTTATTTCATTAATGATTTTGTTGTTTTTTAATCGTTACTTCAACCATTGTACATTTTTGTACTTAAATTACAAAATGCATAACCTATAACACGTTTTTCGTTTTATTATAGCTATACCTATAGGTACACTGACGTTCGGGCCTGTTAGAACTTTGAACACAGTAATCAATCACAGAGGGTCAACTGACGTTTTGGTTTGGATATTCATCACTATCTAACCATATAATTAGGTATTATCTCGTTTGAATATATGATTATGAGCAAGAGCTAGTTTTGTATACATTTTATAAAATGTATATATCTTATCATCTAGTTGTCTAGTATTCAACTTTGCTTTTTATTGTCGTTTATTCTTACATAGAAACCTTACTACGATAGTAACTATTATACAGTGATGGAAAAACATACTTACCTAATTAAAATAAAGTTAGTCTGTACAGTGTAGTAGTTACAAATTGTTACCTGGAAAGGGTTATGAGTACCTGCCCATTGTTTTGCTAATAACCAAGGACATATCAAAGATAGTTTGCAAAAAATACTTTCCCAAACCCTTATCTACTTTTTAACAATATAGATCACCCATTGAATAGGAGAATATTTTTACTAAACTGGAGCGGTGCATCTGTTTTATTGTTTATTTAATGACAGCATTTACTTGGAAGTTGTAAAAATGAATAGATTTTGTTTGTTTGGTTTTACTGAATTCGCAGCACTTAGAGAATGTAAATTTTATAAAAAAAATGTATATGTATTTTTAATAGTCAGTCAGTCAGTTTTGGATTTCGCCAAAAAATTTAAAAAACAAAAAATTACATTTATAAAAGCAATCATTGACCTAAAAAAGCGTCTACACTTGTATAGTTTTATCATAAAAAATATTGATCGAGTGCACCCATTGCATGTTACATGTGCCACAAATCAATAAAAAGACGTGAAAGTGACAATGGTAACTCATAATTACTTTAGTTCTACTGTAACACTGTATAAAAACGAGCTTTTGTTAACAAAAATCATTTACCGAAGCTGTAAATCAGTAATACTTTTCAATACAAAATGTTTACAAAGTGGATAATATTTGTAACTTTTATATTTCAGTTGGTAAGTTGTTGATTTGCCTTATTATTTACGAACAACTGAAGTTTTCTTTATTTTGTACACGTAGGTAATAAAATAGTAAAATCGTGACTAAGCGGAAATTATCTTTTTGTGTGTAAAGTATCCATATTAAAAACAGATGAAAATTTCACGGTATACTGTTAAATATTTGAAATATGATTATCATATAATAGATGACGTCTGCAAATTAATATATAGAGCCACAAATTCGTGAGCATGAATAAGTATTACGTACTTATTTAATATTGGTATTGTACAATTTGATATTTAATTCACATTAGATGTTCTACATATAACAAGCGATACCAACTTGAAATGTAATGAGTTACTTTGTATTACTTATATTCTTATGCACCTAACGACTTTTTAATCCATTATACTTATTTTACTACCCACTTATAATAAAATATTGATAAGTAAAATAATAAACAGTTCTCTATTATTTTATTTTACTTCACATATTTCTCCGCAGAATCAGGAAGCTACATCGTTTCGCATCTTAGCACCTCAATATGTATGTCCAAAACTAGAAGACGATGTGCTTGAGAAACCTGATAACACTGTAATCACGTAAGTAGTTTTGTAAATACAACATACCTACTTAGAATATCACAAGAATAATATACTACATTGTGATTCCCGTGATTATATATATGTTGCTATTCCTGAGTACTAAGATATCATACCTCTGTACCAATCACTTTCGCTATCATATTGCACCTCTCGCAGTAGAATACACCTTACAAAACGAGCTACAGAGTAACAACGGTGAATGAAACACGTAGGTCTACAAAGACTAAATTTTGTTTATTTAATTTAAATTTAAAACAAATTAACGGTCCACCTCATAGTAAGCGGTAACCGTGGGCTATATACTTTAACAGCACTAGAGCATCACACATGCTATGTGATACCACTCATGCGTTGCCATTCCTGAAAACTGACATATCACACCTTTTATCCTGTAATTTCATTGCCACATTACATCCTACAATTGTAGGTGTATAACACAGCTTACAATGCAAGCTGCTTGGCGACTGAAATAGGTAAGACTGAGGTACCCAAGCTGATGTCTTTATACAGTCTACTAGTATGAATTATAAAACTTCTTCATCTGGACGAGAATATTAAAAATATATTTTACAGTTTACTTTCCACAACTACCGAAGCATTAAATGTTCAGTGGACGATACGCTGGAAACCGTTGACAGCGCCAACTCAGCGCTTCACAATTATGCTATGGCGGACAGTGAGAGAGCTTGAAAAGAAATTGAACGGGCCTCAAATTGAGCCTAACGTTTATTTCATCGATAATAACGATGTGAGTTTTAAATTAATAATCGATTAAATATATTTATTTTAAGGGCCTCCAACAAATTTAAATGTTACTCCTAGTTATTGAAAAAATAATATATTTTTATAAGCGGCCATATGAACAAAATGACAAAGTTTTATTATTCTTATGATTGTTTATCATTATAAAAATCTGGTACGTCCTGGTGCCTGGAATGACAAGTTATGTTTGTTATTTACCTACATATGTGTGTCACAAAAGTTGTCTATTCTGTCTGTCTGTGTATAAGGCTGTAATATTATACCTATTTATACTGTTATATTCTTAATATCCTACATGCGTTGTCGTTCCTGTAAACAAAGTAGTAGTGCTGCGTTGTTAATAATTTCAAAAACACTTTATGAACTAATAGGTTATTTATCAAGATATCTTTTGACAAACTATGAAGCAAATAAAAAAAGAGCAAACGGCTTAGCACAGTACTGCTCTACTAAAATTTAGGAGAAGACTCTATAATATAGGACATTCATTACAAATATTTTTTGTATATCCATCTTGACAAAACTTCAAATGAGTACTTACTGCTTATCCTATATTTTTATCTTTTTTAATTCACTAGTTACTGCGTGGCGTAGAGTACACATTCAACGTTTCCGAAATAAATACAAATGGACATAAAGAAGTACCGAAATCCTTCAATATTGATAATTCACAAGGCGATCAGAAGCTAACAATAGAAGGTAAAACAGATAAATTTTCAGTGATCCTGCTGGGAAGTCAAGTTGTCTACGTGGATATGGAATTTATAATAGATGCACAAGTAACTTCGTGTGAGATGACACAAGATTACTATGTAAGTATTCCTGAGTAATTTACATATGTATATAAATTTATATGAATGCTTAGAAACATACTTAAATTTAGCATATTTTGCACTTTGTAATTGTAACTACGTAATAGTAGATTAAATACATATACAAAATGTACAACTTTTAGAAATACTTATATAGGAATTTCTAAAAGTTGTACATATTGTATTTGCTATTTTAATTATATATGTAGGTACAAGTTACGGTGCAATTTATATAGTTAAAATAGCATGCTTGATATATCTGTATATCATTCATTTTTCATAAAAAAAATCTGTCATTTCGCTCTACTATAAAAGATTTTATAAAATCATATCTCTATTTCCATTGCATATTTTTTTATAATTAATACCATATTTTTACAAAAGACCCCACATTACTTGTAGAAAATAAATAAATATCATGTTTAGACAATTAAATAATTGACATAGTTGCTACTTGTAGGTCAATTTAAATATTGTCCTATCATTTACGTAATAGAAATACCTGTACCTAACTGAAACTTACATTTAGAAAGAAAAAATATAAAAATTCTTCGTATGCCCAATATTTTACTTCTATTTTCTATTTACCTATCATTACATAGTATAAAACAAAGTCGCGGTCGGTGTCTGCCGTCCCTATGTATGCTTAAATCTTTAAAACTACGCAACGGATTTTGAAGAGGTTTTTTAATAGATAGAATGATTCTAGAGGAAGGTTTATATATATAATACAGGTAGGTACACCCGACAGAATCCGGGGCGAGTAGCTAGTATAGATATAAAAATAAAACTACAACAATAAAAATAATTAACAATCTAATGTAACATACAGTAACATTACATTTTTATACGGTAAATAAAAATATCTACTAACAAATTCTGTTACAACAATATAAATTCATCAAGTAATGAAATGAACTTCCCTAATTTGATAAAATGTAACAAATTTTGTATGGTTAATAATTCTTATACACAACTAACTTTTGTCTCTATTTTTCAGTTTGTATGGACAGTAAAAAGTGAAGTTGGTGAAAACTTTAACTTTTCCCATATAAAAGGATCCAAACTAGTAATACCCCAGAACTCTCTAAAAGCAGGTTTTATTTACGAAGCCAGTTGTGAGTTATACAAAAAGTCTGACCATACCTTTATTTTGCAGGTAGGTATGTTATTTATAAATTTCTTAATATGTAATAAAGTACACATTCAATTAAATAAATTCAGTTAGGTAGATAGAATATAAAAAATATCTTGTTTTCAGTTATACTACAAAAACCAAAAGCTAGGAGTAAATTCTATGGTGATATAACTAAATTTTCCTATACATATAAACTGACCTAATTATTCCAATTTATTATAATAAAACTGTGTTAAAATATGAGACATAAATATATTGATATGTAGATCAATATAAAAAATCGCATTACACTTTATATAAAGTCTAAATATCATAAAATTTTCATTTTAAGACGAGCCTTGAATTCAAAGTGCACCATCGTGGTATTGATGTTTATCTAAGCTTGGATGCTGTCGTTATTGCTGTAAACTCTGCATTTAATATCGAGGGGATTGTGATAAATCATGATAACTACGATAATTTATCGGTAAGTGTACTAAATGTTATATAATGTGGTTTGAATAACACTAAGACGTAAAAGTACCTAATGCGAAGTAATTTCAATATTGGTTTGTATTCTCGGATTATTAGACAGCGTTTCGTAATACAGATTTTATATATTTTAATATTTTACATAAATATATTAATATTATAAAGAAGATAGATTTTATATATTTATTTATTTATGATATAACTAACTGTCCCCGCGATTTCATCTGCGTGTTATAGTTAACCTTGACATCTACACTTACTGAATGTAAATTATTCCAAAGTAAAGACAAAATAGCTATTTAAAATAAATAACATTTAAGTAAAATAATATCCTTTCGATGTTTTACTCGCAAATAGAATAGATGCTTTATACTATATAGATATATAAGTAGTAATTTCTATTACAGCTCCAATGGATGTGTTTACACGAAGGGGAGTCATGTGATTACTTTGAGTATATAGACGACAATTCGATTCGATTCTCATCAGGATTTCCGAACACAGGGCAGTGAGTGTTATACATTATTTCGTTGGTTATATCTTTGTGTAAAATCTATTCTAGTCTTTAAACGATATCAAAAAAGGAGGAGGTCGTATGTTCGATCTGTACATATATAAATTTAATACGTGTGTACATCAACTTGTTTGTCAACTGTGGACCCATTTTTAAAATATATTTTTTGTTAGGGAAGTTTGATCAAATCATCTCTGCAAGAATATAACAAACGGCCCTACAGATATCTATAATAACATTTAACATGTGCTGTCTTCGCAGATATGTCGTCACTTTCCGTGTTAATGTAGAGCAATATTCTATTATTGCCAATGCTACTATAATAGTCATCGATTCCGTCTTGCCTGTATTACAGGTATGTTTATAAAATGAGATATTTAATTAGGATATCATGACGTCCGGGAGAAAGGGGATTGTTAGTAATGTGGACTAATAACCCCATTGCTAGCAATGTACCATATCAGGTTGACCTCCACGTGGTTCCCCCTAGAAACCATCGTAATAAATTCATGGTGAATTTATCACAATGGACTAACTTACCTGACCTACTGCTTATTTTATCATCCTCCCCTGGTGTCACGCCAGTGTAAACCATTAGCGCAGGCCGGTGCACCATTTACATTATCACTACGATATCATGACGGCGTCGGTATACTTGCGGGTTCCATTCGTCGTAGTATTACAATAATGTCGCGTTGGTTTCCAGGACGGGCGGCCTCTGTGCCGTGACAATATTGCTAGTAATAATAATACCTATCCCTGGACAATTCACGCAACGCCATCTAGTACAAAGATCAGCAGAGCTTGTGTTATGATATAAATATTCAGATACACTGTTTTTGTAAATACATACATAATATAGGAAACAGGCCGATAGCAATAATCACATTCATTAATACAAATGTTTGTAGCGTGCAAGGAATTGAACCCGCGATCATCAGAAGTAAAGTAGCGTGCTAAATCGCTAGACACTGAGGTTGTGAGACCATTAATACCCAATATTAGCTATCTGCTGAAGTTGGAAATTCATTTATGCTGTGTATGATTTGAGTATTAAATAATATTTCACAGTATGTATGTAAATTATTCTTTACAGATAAGTCCATTACCAAGATTACTGAACCAAGGCGGCACTGTGTCTATAACAGCTACTGGAAGCAATGTATCTCCTACCTGCACCCTTGGATTGTACTTCGCGTCTGAGGAATTTTTAAACAATACTAACTCAGTTATTAACGATACATGCGAATATTGTCAGGTATCTACAAACGATGCAGATTAAGGAGAAATGTCAATAAATATTATAATTAAACAACCTGTATTTCATTACTAAAGTAGCTAAATAAGTAATATTTACGTCTTCCGTTTCTGCAGGTTTCTATCACTAATCATTAGAGTGATCATTAATAAAATAACCTACGCGAAATCATAATTTTGGCTAATATTATAAGCCACCTACTTTACTTTTACTTACGTTCTTGTCCGTATACGTATAATTAATTATGTACTTACGCGTACGCTAAAATTTAATCTACATTTTTTTTAAAATGTTCTCCTGACCTCATATACCTACCTAATTTTCCCCACATATCAAAGAATGTTACCGATTAAACCACATTAATCTTACTGACGCTTGAAGTTACCAATCTTCCTAAAGATCACACATAAAATTACTTGCTTATTTCAAATTAATGATATTGTTATATTATACATTTAAATGATATTTTTTTATTTCTATATACTATACAGCATGGCGAAGAATTAACGGAATCACTAACAGTCAATTCTCTCGAGGAAAATTTTCTGAACGAACTGACAGACTTCTCCAATGACACTGAATGGCGGCAAATAACGGTCGAAATGGCAGCTGCAGCTGGAAGGTTACGTTTCGTTGCCGACTGCGGATGCTCTTTAACATACGGCTGTGATAGAAAAGGGACAGTGTACGCTGAAGTTAATTTTCAACTTAACGAAAGTCCCAAAATAGGAGAAGTAATGGTAATTTTCTATTATTTTTATTAACTGAGCCCACGATTTTATAGTCTTTACTTAATATATTAAACAAAATTGCCATCTTGTATTTGCAATGACGTAGTAGAGTAACTTGAAACTATGATGCTCACTATAAAGTTATAACTGGTGGCGTCGTCGTCGGCCGGTTCAATGTGGTCTAATATCGAGTGCAATGATGGCTGGTGAAACGTCATACTCATGAACGGGTGCTGCTTGTACAGACTTGAGTTACAGCTACGACTACATTATTACCTTTTGACTAAAATCCTGGTGGTCACGATTCTCCTTAATTGAATTTAAAAATGAATAGTATATTTTTGTAATCATGTACAAGCTCGTTTGGAAAGCATAAGAGCTGAGTTTCTTATCAGTTCTTCTTAGCTCGAAAGCACTCCCGAGATATCGGTAGATTTAACATACCTATCATAAGAATTTGTACTAGACCTATAGATACCATGTAGGTACGCTGTAGCATGGTAAGGGTGACAATTTCAGTAACGTTTCGTTTCACTCTTGAAAGTTACCGCCGATTTACGTAAATTGTGACTTAGTATTTGAGCTGTACCACATTCATATCTAATATATTAAATTATTAATAACTGTAGTAACTTAAATTTAGCAACTGTAACCCGCACACTAAAAAACACATAGTAGGTATACCTACATGAATAAAGATATTTTGATGGATTGATATAATTTGAGATCTAATATGCTTTAATTTCATTAAGGTTTCACCAAATTCCGGCACGGCCCTAGAAACAATTTACCGTATTAGCACAACCGCCGCTATGGATCCCGAAGCTCCACTGCGTTATTCTTTCTTTTGTTGCCTCAGTAAGAATGATTCGCTTCTGTTGGGCTCGTACATGGAAAGTTTTGCTGTTGAGACTCTACTTCCCTATGTTGGTTTGTACTCTTATTTTTTGTAACTTCAATGATAAAAATACTGCTTCACTTGATGGAAAGTTCACCATGGAACCATCGCCTATTACAAAATTAATTTGCACCGCACATGCTAGGTTCCCCTTATGTATTGCTATTGCAAAAGACTTGGGTGTCATACTTCCATATTTTTTAATTTCTTCAATTTTACTGCCATATCTAACACATCCCCTTACCTACAAAGGAAGTTGCTTGACGGCACAAATATGTGGTTGATCAGAGTTATCCACGGATACGAGGCTGTAGAAAGAAGAAATTGATTTATTGTTTTGTTTTTTTTTAAGACGGTACAAGCGCTGTCTAAATATGTTAGTTGTTTTGTAAAGACGTTAAAAATTCTATCATTCCAATATAAAAAAAAACAATTTTAATAAAACCTTTCAGAAGCTACCTCGATGAAAGCAGTTATTTTTCTACCTGTTACGCGAAATATTAAATACCTTCTTATGTTGCACCTATTTCCTTATGCCTTCAATTATTGTATTTAATGACGAGACAACAACAATTACCGCAACCTCTTTGGAGGACAGTTAAAACTCTGAAGTCAGGGCCTTAACTCCAGATTTTACTTTGGAAGCGACTATCCCCATGTCTCTGTATGATACTTTTGGCTGGGCGCCTTTCTCACATACCCAGTAGAAACTATAATTAAGTTTTAGTATCTATTGTTTTTTTATAGCATATGTATAACATGCATATCGTTTTTTTTACAGAGGGTGGTACCACAGTTTGGGTTGAAGTGTGCGATTCTCTAGGCGCATGCTCGTCTAGTAATGAGTTAACTATATATTTATCGCCTGGTACGGCTCGTACTATACCTACACTAATAAACGATGTACGTGCCCACGTTTCGCGCTGTGAAATGTTAATGCTTCAGCGGGTAGCTGTATCGGCTATTGAAACTTACAATGTATGTACATTGGATTCTTGTCTAATAAATAAAATAAGTGCTTAAATATATTCACTATTACAATGGAACGAAATATGTTGAGAATATTTAATAGACATGGAGCAAGCCTACCGCTATATCTATACATATAAATAAAATTGGAGTATCTGTTTGTACCTAATATTGAAATAACCGTTTTTTACTGCATGCATATGAATATAAATACGGTACATACACCAAAGTAACATTTTTTATAATTTTTGTCTGTCTGTCTGTTTGCCGGCAACAAGTAATAAAAACTAAAATATGAAAATCAGACATCTTTCAAAAATTACGACTCTGTGGACGAATCGTCAATTAGGTAGGCTTTAGATACCTAGGGATAAAATTTAAAGCATATAAAATTAAGAATATCGATAAAATGCAATAACACCGTAAACGTTATTTTACAGAATGCAGACCAAAAGGAAGCATTAACGTATTTCACGACTGCTTTACTTGAAGAATTAAAAGACATGGAGGAAAATGTCTGTATTATAGACAACTTTAGCCATTTTTCAGAATTACTGCACTGGCTAAATAATGCAGGAGTTGATACTACAAGTTTATACACATATTAAAATATTTTGATTGCACTGGTTATCAAAATGTATGTAACATTCCAACAAACCAGTACACTTGTGTCTTTGACAAAGTTACTTATATAGTTATGGTATATACCTAACTATGGCCGTGGCATAACATTTTAATAGTTTTTTTTATGAAAATGGAATGGCAGACAAGCTGACTCCTACCTGATGGTTAGCTGTAATCATCGCTTATATATATGAACACTAACAGCTCTACGGACATCACGATATCATGTGACGTAGCGATGCCATTCTTGAATAGATACTAAGATGTTATCCTCTCATCCCTAAATATCACTGCTTACACCCTACAACCGACTTACTAACCGGCTTACACTGCAGCTTCATAGCTAAAATAGATGGTTGGTAGAGAGGCATCATGCAGATCGATTTTTTAGTCTACCTCTGGTCAACTCGTCCATGGTATACGTAAAAATATGTATACCACATAAGATAGACATATACATAAATTTCCTGCCTTTAGCCATCTTAGTAAAACGAAAAAGGTGGTTAAAATAAATACATAGGTAATGAGTATTTATTTTAACCTTGATCACGGACATAACTATTAATATATCTTTATGACACAAAAGTACATATAAATAAAAAAACAAATTAACAGAGTATTTATAATTTTATTAAACCTATTTAGTCTTCAAGAACAAACAGAATTATAATAGGTACATATTATGTAACATGAAACACAATATTAATTGTTAAGTTAATATTGCATGCACTGAAGTAAAATTTTATTTATATAATAACAAAAACAATAATTATACAGAATTGGAAAATAACTTAGAATTAAAACAAATGTAAAACAACACCTGTATGTAATTTTTATACTTACACTATAATCAAAACAAGAAGCCTTATTATAATTTTGTATTGCGGTATGGTGCTCTCCAAAAGCAATATTTAAAAATAAACTTGTCAACAATGTCTGTTTATATTATGTACACACATCGAATATTTACATCTAAAAGTACATGAGCAGTTCACATTATTTCACTAGTAGTACAGTAAAATAATCATTTAGATTGCACAATATTAGCTCATTCAATAAATAAAATATGTATACACTCCACACCAACAGGACAACAAGACAAACAATTAATTAAATAATTTTGTTTCTGTATATGAAATAGTTATTATTTAGTATCAACCATTACAATACTACATGTTCAAGAAGACTAATGCATACTTAATGACTAACGTATTTACCTAATATTCATTAATATTCTTCTAATGCAATTATTTGTCTTATTGAATATCTGAAGAATTTATTCTCAAATAAATTTAATAATCGTATTTTTTTACAATTACAAATTTCAACTAGCTTATAATTAGATTCTTAAATTGGCATATATATACATAATAAAAGAGTTGCCATTTCAGAAAACAAAATGTTGATACATTAGTTTTTGCTACCTGCATAATTGCATTAGTAAAAATATATCATTTAAAAATCTTACAAAATAGTGTAGGTACCTAGGTTTTATTTTGTCCACTTAAAATAGAGAACTGTTTACAGTAACGATTCATACTTGGCATATGCAATTATACATTTAAAAATATGTCTACTGCATAAGAGAAGTGTCTAATAAAACAGAGACTAGAGCTATAGCGTTGTATAAGTATTTACTAAATAGACATATTGCAAATACTGAAGTGTACTCCAAAATCATAATATTAACTTGTGTCATTTACAATTATGCCAAGTCGGAATCATCTCAAACTCAAATTCCACAAAGCTTACATACTACACATTAACTCCATTTATTTTAAGTTTTTTCACTCTACGTGTTGTACCCTCACCATCAGAGCTGTCTGTGTCATGGGAACTGCCTTCTGACTTGATGCCGAGACCCAACTCATGAGGGTCTACATAGTTGCCTGTTGCTCTGGCTTTTTCAAGAGCACGAACTGTAAATAACAAATGTTAAATTAAATAGATAGACACATGTACACTTAAAGCTGAGGTAAGTAATTTTGTGTGCATTCCTTAAATGGGAACAATTGATTTATTATATGAAGCAGAATGTAAATACTACAGCAAATTTTGCACTAGATTTTAATAAAAATAGAGAACAACAATACTTAAGCCTACTGAGTATACATAAATTTCCTTTCATAAAATCATATATATATCTGTGATATATATATGATTTCATCAAATAACTATTTTTGGGGCATTTTGGGGAAGTATGGCTATTCCTTAAAAGTATTATATTTTGATCTTATAACAATATTGTATTTTCTCAGAATAAAAAACTTTCAATTATACTACTCCACAATAGTATTTTTTTATTTTTCTAATAAATGGATTTACATTGTACATGTTACTCATAAGTGCATAGGACTCACACATTCTAAAACTCATAAAAAACATGTATTACACAGTAGAACATATTGGAGTCATCACTCCAAAATCCAAATCCAATTAGCAACTTACTTTGTGTTTCGAGAATAGTATTCTGTCTCTTTAAATCCTCAATGTCTTGTTGATGGGAGTTATTTTTCCGCCTCATAAACTGTATGTACTCTGCAGCCTTTTTAAGAATTTGCGCTCGACTTGCCTGAAATTAAATTCAAGAAAATGTTATATTTCAATCTTTTATCTTAGAACTGGCCTGCTCATGTATTGTTGGAATTAACATGACAATGAGAGAATGCATGAGAGGTTCTATGGGTGTCACATGTCTAGGGTGCTTTTCAGGTATCTAAATATATATATCTAGAAATATCTATGTGATGGTTACCATTTACTATCAGATTATTTATTTATTTAATTTATTCTTTATTGAACATCAATAAACTTTTGTACAACAGGCGAGTTTAATGTTGTATGTTTGCACTCCCAATTACATAAAAACATAGAGTTGTAATAAATATAATATTACTACTATCTATATAAGATTATTAAATAAAATAAAAATTTGTTGTACGAAATTACTATAAAATAGGAATGTCACATTAAAACATCAAATAACATTCAAGGTTATAGCAAATTATTATAGAAAAGAGGTTGCAAAATGGATATGGTGTAGTCTGTCATAGTATTAAAAAGAAACTGGCATTTTGACCTTGAAGGTATTTACAAAACAAAATAACAATTCAGATGTCAAGGGGATAAAATATAAAAATATAAAATAAATACCAAATAATATAAACATACCACTTTCTCATTTTGAAGAGCTGGCACAGATTCCCTTAATGATGTAAAACTATCCTTTATGTGGTCTCTCCTTTTCCTTTCTAAAGCATTATGGTGTGCTCTTTTCTCTGCCTGAAAAAATATATTTGAGTCACAACTAAATATCTTTTAAAAAAATTGGAATTACATAAAGCAAACTATTCAGTTACTTATTTTTGTGAAATAATTTCGACGTCCTGTTTTTCTCAAACAAATGTAGCTACCAATACTTTTGAATAAATATAACAGAGGCATTTGTAAAACTACCTTACCTGAGAATAATAGCCACTGCCACTAAGGTTATTCCTGGCGTGCGTCCGAGAGTCAGAATCGTTTTCTGCCTGTAATAAGCAGATATACAATATTAAAATTATCACAAAAAAGAAGATATTACAAAATAAACACAGGTTGCACTGGCTCAAATTAACAGTCACAAGATACCTACATCACTTTCGATGTCAATATCGCGGTCGTCGTCACTCATCATTTTTTACAGTACTTTAAATACAGACCCACAAGTAATAATAAACAATCATGAGTGAAATTTACGAGATACAATGAGAAATTAAATATGAAAATAGCTATAGTAAAAATACAAAAGACGCGTGACAGAATTTGACAGATTGATGCGCACGCAGTATTATCAAAAAATGGCAGATGACAGCAGTACCACAGATCAACTAGAAATACTCGAAATACAGACAAGAAGGCAGTCCTTCACTAGCGAAATCGTGCAATGTCTTAATTATTCGTCAATTTTATATATTTCATTTGTGAACGATGACTTAAAAAGTGATTTTACCACCAATTGTAACAATATTCATGCGATTTAATGCTATTTTACGGTTTATTTTGCAATATGAAATGAAAGTTTTTTATCGGAGTGACAGATAAAAAATATTTTCACTTGCTGGATTGCAAATAAAACCATTGTTTATGTAATATTTTCACTCCAATTAATTTATTTTCACTGGATATTAAATACGAGAGATTTAAAACTTTTAATTGTCGTCTGAGAACATAGAATCCATAGATTGTTGATTCTATGCTGCTAGACTTTAAGCCCTTTGCTTCGCTTTAGTAGATCTTAAAAAAGCATGGATAGAAAAAGTGGGAATTTTAAATTTCCCTCGTATTTTGTCAAAGATAAACTGTAATCGTAATAATAGTAAACGAAAAAACCTATGGTCGACTATTCCAAAAATGGATACGACTAAATTCAATAATCCATTTGATAACATTGATATTTCTAGTCCAGAGTTTTATAATATGCTACAAGAACAAATTGAGTTAGATTTGGCACGGCTAAAAAAAAATGTAGACATAATAAAAACTTTAAGAAGTGGGTACACTTGACACAATTTTATATTGTAGTACACCGTAATTTTATTTTCAAATGTTATCAATACATATGTTCTATAATTATCTCTATTTTTTACAGTAACAGCCGCTGAAATGGAAGTGGAGACAGCAGCACTTTTTCATGCCGATTTACGGCGTCAAATAGAAGACTTTAAAAATATTGCCATACACAGTGATGAGGATACCACTGACTAGATCTTTTTATCAATAAATTGAACTAGTATCCTATTAATATTAAAACTTATTACTTTGAATTTCGTAGATGTTTACATTAAATAACTAATCAATAATAATCATAACTTTATCATAATTTCTACTAATATTAAAGATAATATTAGCATACAGAATTTTTTGGGTAAGCCTTCCTCACTACATATACTCAATAATATTTGAAGTTAAGAAAAGACAAAATAAAGTCAATATGACGTTAAAAAATTTTTATGCTAACATACTAAGAATCAACGAAGTATGACATAGGTCTGCTTATCATACTTAAGTAGTAGGTACTTTTTACTTTCGATGCAACATAACTATTGATTCCAGGGGGGAAGGGGATTGTTAGTAATGGGAACTAGTAATTCCCTTTGCTAGCAATATACCATGTTAGGACGACCTCCACGCGGTTCCTCCTAGAAACTATCGTGATAAATTCCTAGCGAATTTGTCCCTATGGGCTGACTGACCTGACCTCATATTCCTCTTATCATCCTCCACTGGTGCCCCGCTAGCGTAAGCCGTTAGCGCAGGCGGGTGCAACATTTCATTATCATCCCCAAAAAAACCATTGATTTCGAAGATAACATTGGTAGGTACTAAGAATAATTTTAATAGCTTTTAAAACCAAATGTATTTTATTAGTTAAAATACATCATTAGAAATTTATATCATAGATAAGAGAATAGGTATTGTATATTTATACATAGGTAGTAGCAAAGTTATGTTATGTATAATAGATATTTGGCTACGTAATGTAATATAATCCCATCGTTATTAAGTAGATACCCTAAGTGAGAAGTAATTTCTATTGGGCATTTTAAATTCAATAAGATGTAATGAAAATGTGCCTAGGTATTTACTTATTTCCTTTAACTAATAATCTAAAATATCTAAACAGAATTAAATTATTACAACGCGATACGTACCCATTATTATTTGACCTATTGTTACATACTTCTGGTATTATCTAAGTAGGTATGTTTTATACGGCAAAACAATGATAACATATTTAATATAAACTTAATTTCCTTATGAGTTGATGAAACACGAATCAACACGTAAATAATTTAGACAATAAGGAATCCTCCTTTACAAGTGTTATACCTATCAAATATTATTTCGTTCAGTGTCGTGTTAAAAATGAGTCTCATAAAACATATTTTCATTTGGATGACCGTATCTTCGCTATTCTTGGGATCACTAGGAGACGAAGAAAATGTGGCATCAGCTTCGCCCCCTCATTGCACTGTAATAACTAAAGGTCGGGACTTAATTTCTTTTTTATTCACACGTACAGCATATGGTCACGACTGTTATGAGAGATAGAGTAGTCAGAGGATTTGTCAACTGTCGATGTTATGGTGAACGTACATTTCGCTTGGTATACCTACATATGTGAATACAACCTGGCCACGGACAGGCTGTAGCTGTCTCTACGATTATTTTTTTAATCGATATCGTTTTCTTTCACCAGAGAATCAGTCAGAAATATATATTCAGATATAAAGTTTTTCTTTGTTTTTGTTTATGACGGTAAACACTAAATCAACGCTCTCATATAGTTTGCATAACTACTACTAACTAAAAAATTATACAAAACAAAACTTCTAACAAAACCTTATTTCAACACAGTGATATTAAAATTCTTTGTTAAAAGAGAAAACAAAATTTACCTACTTACTTTCCCAATCTATTACATAATAATATTATATTTTATACTTCTACATTTATCTAGTCTGCTACTAACTGCTACTGCTTTGTGATTTCAGCTACGGACTACGCTTACAAATATAGATTTGATTATCCACTGATGTATATTCCGTCGGGCCAGCCGGAAGCTTATCAAAAGGCGAGTACCTAATAGATAGCTAAATAATATACCTATGCAAGAAATTTAAGTGGGAGTTCATAGTTTTGATATAAAAGAAAAAAAATATCTGTAATAAAATAAACATATTATATATATAATAAAATAATTTATAATTATGTTCGTACGTATATGACATCTTAGTTCTCCTAAAGGATAGGTAATGCCGGAGTACATAATTACGTGATATCCGTACTTCCTTAGTGCTGTTCAAGTACATAGGTGACGGTTACCATTTACCATCAAGACGACCGTAGGTATAGTAGTTATGTAATAATATCTATACTAATTTCTTATTACAGATGTATTGCATTTACCCACCAACTGTAAACAAAGCGTCAGCGACGGTGTGCGACTGGGCTGCTCCTCCACAAGTACAATTCACACTCGGCGATGATTATTTGCACGTGGTGCGCCAGGATCCGACGGGGAAATTCCTTGGAAACGCTCTCATAACTACATATCAGTTCTGTAGCCACAATATATCACACGTACAAACCGTAGAAGAAGTCGCAAACAGTATATAATGTTAAATTATCCACGTACGAATATAATAATAATTTCATTAATATGAATAAATTTGTAACATCTATAATAATAAAGTTGTTTATTTTAATCGACTATCTTTTTTAACGTGTGGAAAGTTTCCCGAAGACTGTCCACATATTGCAGGACAAATGTGACCCACTAAAAGCTTTTTAGATCCGCATGAAAACACAACCACTAAAAAACTACACGCCTGTACGAATTAGTATGAAATTTTGTGCACAGGCAGATCATTAGAATTAACAAATTCTTTCCATCTATGCCACAGAATGAATCTGACAATTAATGTGAAATGTTTCGACATCTCTTTTAATGTGTATTATTAATGTAAAGTTGTGAACTAAAAAGCGATTAGGTGATCCTTCACCTTGTGCGATTATTGCATTGTAAATTATTGTACATTGTACAATTATATACTAATAATGGTGATATTCGCTTACAAAGCCTTCAATAATCGATTTAAAATAACCCATTAAATTGTAATGGGTTGAGAATATTTCAAATTATACACGCTCGCGTTTATTTACAATATATAGTAGAAAACGATATACCTAATCACATTAGTTAGTTATATATTAGGGCAGCCAGTACATAGAAGGCAGTAGGTACAATGATCGGAAAGTTGTTATGTCTAGTTGTCCTAATTGGTATTGTAGCGGGGGAAAAATATGTTTTTGAATTCGGTAAGTATACAATGTACACATTTTATTGATTTAAAGTTTTATATGTACTAAATATAATTCGGGATATGAAAAATATAAAATATTACAATGCATCTATCTAGATTAGATTAGATATCTACCCAGATTTTTCATTCTCTTATCTTACATTTACCTGCTGCTGAATAAACCATTATATTGGTGTTTTTCAGGAGTTGACCAAGGATTGGTATTATGTAGCGAAACTGGAAACGTCGGAGCTTTTGAATATAATAAAAAAATAAACCTACCCGTGAGTACCTGCTTATATCAAATTATAGACATACTTAAAAGTACCATATTTTTATTAACTTTTTGAAACCGTATTTTTAATTTTAACCTCTATAAGTGGAAACTTGCCATCAGGCTGATCGTATGTACTATAGCTTATAGACATGAACTGTACCATAGACACAATAATATACATGTGACGCCCATGCTACTTGTCTTAAATTACCATTCTGGAAGCTAAGGAGGCAAAACTACGTGGTTGTTCCTTAAATTAAATATTTAATCTTAAGTCGGAAAATGTTAACTTGTCTATAATTCCGCAAAATTGTGTGCGATGTTTGAAAAATAAATAATCCTGTTTTCTACCTTACTAAAATGCTATTATTTCTTACAGATTCCATCGGGCATGAAAGTTAACTACGTTAAAGTAATTGTGGACGCACTCGCACCACCTAAAGTTGAATTTGATTCTAGCTTCAACCAAATTAAACTGAGCTATTCCTTCTTACAAATCACTTTCTCTAGCTACCAAATTATTGCCAAGGGTGAGCCAATAGCATGATAATAATAATAATATCTGCAGGTATTTTGCCTTCACACTAGATTACATCTTTTTTTTCTGTATAAATGTAACCTTATTTATTTAATTTAAAAAAATCTCAAAATTATTTATCTAATAAATTGATTTGATAAAAATTGTTGTTATATTTAAATGTTTGTACCTAATTTATAATAAAAAAAAAAAAATTTCACATCATTTAGTGAAGTTATAAATCTGAGAATATCATATTTATTATGTACCTAGATATATTATTGTATAAATCGTAGCGATTATTCACTGAGTTACTGATGAATACTTATTTATCTGCAAAATTAATCAGCAGCAGTCATTAATATTGCAGCAATCCTATTTCGAAAGTAATTGATTAGAGACACTATTTTTTTTGCAATCAAATCCAATTCTATGCTTAACTCCGAATATTTATTCAGTAAAACATAAATAGGAGCTTGAAAGATGTCTATGTTCCATTTACTTTTAAAATTCATAGGGTTTACTTTTTTATTTATTCAGACTATTATTGGACAAGGAAAACCATTAGACGTATTGATTTATGAATATGGTAAGATTATAAAATAATAATTACCAGTTAGGTATATATATATATATATATATATATATATCTCCAAAATTCTTCATACAATGTATGATAATATCTCACTTATAAAAGAAGATAGTAAAAATATTAAGTATAAAACACTTATAGCTGATGCAAATTGAAGAAAATAAAAAGTAGGTACGAATAGGCTCACATATATAAATTGAATTGGCTGGTATATTCAAATTGAATACCGTGACAGTATCTTTACATCAAGAAAAGATCGTAGTAGGTATTACAACCCTGATCTTTCACTGATAGAATAGCCTCGTTATCTGTCTGGTTTATTTTAAGGCGGGCGTGTACAGGGTGAAAAACAATCTTACTATTTCAAAGGGACTATACCACCTTTCACACCGGTTTATAAGTTAAATGTAACTGTGAGTATATATAACATACATATTAATAAGATAGGCATCTACTCTCTGTGCAAAGACGCAATAAGAAAACATGTAACAGTATAGATACCATACTATGTAGTACCCGGGAAGTCTGCGTTGGTACTTCTGTCTTACCTAATTCCTCTGCAAATCAGCGTTCTTTGTAAGCTGTTATGGTTAAAGAGTGTAATACAGGATTTTTTAAATTTAATTTACACCTTAGTGCATACTCAGGAGATTAAGTATAAACCCGTAAATTTGTAATCCTTGCAACTACTAATATGTCATTTACAGCCACATCACCCTGACCTGGAGAAGAGATTTACATACTTGAGAGCAGAATATATTAACCCTGTATCAGCAGTATCAGTTAACTTTGATCCGCATACGATGATAATGACGTTTTATATAAAATTCCCTTTTCTCAACATGCCATTGGGAGTCGGCGGCTATTCTATGCCTCTCAGTTCAGCATCGCGTAGAAGAAGACAACGTAAAGATTGATAAACATAAAAACGTTCCTAAATATATTTCAATCAAATATCTAATACAAAAATAAATGTAATTACAAGTGTATCTATATATATGATCTATATATATATATATATATATATATATGAATATAGATGATGTGATTTAGACTATGTTTATACATTATTATATGCTTTGCATCGCATGTAACTCTTCTGTACTTGTGATTCTCACCTAACTCCTCCCAAACGGCTTGACCGATTTGGATGAAATTCGTGTGTAGGTATATTTCAATGGGTTTCTAGATAATTTATTCTAATAATGCTGTTCTATGATAAAGTAGTCAAAAGCCTAGCCATTGACGGAAAACAAAGTATTAAATGTTTTATATAAAAGTTTTATTTTCACTATTGGCGATTAACAATAGTTAATTCATCAATTGTAAAAAAAAAATATAAAAATATTAATGTAAATTTACGATTTTTGAGTGTCTAACTGCATTTAGAGATTATAACACATTTTTGGGTTAATATCAATCAGTCTTATATAGTCATCAGTCATGTGAACGCATATTGATATCGTCATGCCGCTCTCTCTCGGTTTCGCGGTGATCTCCTGAGACACGAGCTCCGGCCGAGGTGCCGGGCTCGTCATGCTCGCGCTTACCTGGCGAGTGCGGTGCCGACGGAGCAGACTGCACCAGCCTTCCCATCAAACTCACACTCTTATCCTTTCGTGTTCTCGTCCACTCGTGAGACAGCACTCGATCTAAAGTCAACCTCAACGTTATATCCGGCTCCAGAATATGCCGCACTATGGACTTGGCGGCTGCTGACACGGTATCCCGAATCCTGGACCGAAATACCCAGTTGCGAGACATCTGGTCTTTCAGGAGCTTACGTAAATTCGAGTCGTCGAAAGGCATCGATGCATTCAACATTATAAAGAGAATAATTCCGAGAGACCATACATCAGCGAGCTTCGGATTATAGGGAGTACCGCTCACTACCTCTGGCGCTGCATAGGCAGCTGATCCACAATACGTTTGGCTAAGCACACGCCGGTTCTCACCATCAGTACAAAATCTTGCGAATCCAAAATCTGCGAGTTTCACATTGAAACGTCTTGACAGAAGTATGTTCTCACATTTCAAATCACGGTGTGCAATGTTCTTACTGTGTAGATACTGCAATCCACTAGCCATCTGTCGAAACCAAAGTTTCGCTTGGTTTTCAGGAACAACACCATTTTTTTTTATAAAGTCCAGCAAATCTCCGTTATCTGCGTAACGCATAAAAATAAAAACTCTTGGGCCCCTCTGTAGTATACTATGTACTTGAATAATGTGAGGGTTCTCGATTTTAGTCAAGATGTCAAGTTCGCGAGGAAAAAACTTCTCTAAAAAATCCCGAGGTGCTTTTTCTTTATCAAATATCTTGCACGCCAGGTGCATTCGCTTGGGACTAGTTGCATCGCAGTATTCTGCGAGATGAACGGTTGCATAAGACCCCTGTCCGATTTTCTTGCCGATGAGATAGCCTCTTTGTTCCAAGGCATTGACCTCGGAGCTTCGAGGGCTGAGGCGCTCAGCCATGGAGCTCTACCGTCTTTATTCTAACCCGTTTAGGATACATTGGACATCTCACTACTAACAATATGTCCAAGGTTTAAGTTGCCCTCCTGTCAAAATGTTACCTCTCCAATTGCTATAAGTTTTCCACTCAACTCTCATGAAAGAGAGTGTATCGATAACAATTAAATATAAAAATAAAAAACACGCACACAATTTGGTTAAAATATTACGACATCACAAAGAATTTGGATTTAAATAAACGCCTTTACTAGTAAGAAATCTTCCAAAAAAGACGTATCTGTTACATTGATGAAGTTTTTTCTTTTGTTTCTAAAATTAAAATGTATAACAGGTAAAGCCTGTAATAACTTTTTATAAAAAGTTTCTACTATGTTAAAACCGTACATACTATACTAACAGGCTATAGGTACTTTTTTTATAAATGGAGCATCCGCCTGCGCTAACGGTTTACGCTGGCAGAGCACCAGTGGAGGATGATAGGATAAGCATGAGGTCTGGTCAGTTCCCCATCGTGACAAATTCACCAGGAATTTATCACGATGGTTTCCAGGAGGAACCGCGTGGAGGTCAACATGACATGGTCCATTGCTAGCATTGGGGTCATCAGTCCACATTTCTAACAATCCCCTTCCCCCCAGGCTATAGGTACTAGTACCTAGTGTTCATCACTGAGATTCGTGATGTGAGGAATCATAAGATACTTTTTCCATCTTTATGATATTCCAGTCCAGACATGTGGCGGCGTGGTGGGCCGGGTCATTGGGCTCCCTAAAATATGGACGAGCGCAGTGATGGCTGGCTCATCCGTCATACTCGTGAACGAGTGCTACTTGTAGGAACTGGTCTGCTCTTACATATCACTACGACTGATTTAATCTTATTGTGTTTTTATATTTGAGCCTAAATATATTAGTGCTGTATTCACACGTTTCGACTTGTAAAATGTGAACTTTCTTATTCTTTTCTTCTTGTGATGAGACAGCTTTCCGAATAAGCGGTAGATTTAAAAAAATGTTGACTATTCAAAAGTGCTTAAATTAAGTTTATTTGAATAAATGATTTTCTATTCTATTCTATTCCACTGAACCTTAATGAAAATATCGTTATCAAAACGGTTAGATGCGAAACTTAATACAGGAAATCATATTTCTATTCATTCATTTGCAATGTAAGATAAGCTAGGTCAACCCAGCCTATCTTTTTTACAATGTATTGATGATTATTAGTCAGTTTGTTAAAGGTGTTCCTATATACCGCCAGTTATGTGGAGTATTATGACTTCTAACGTTACAAAATTAATATTGAAATAAACGTCTTGTGACTCTTGAGGTGACGGTGACAGCTGAGTAGTCTCTATACTTAACTAATTTATGGCTGAATAGACTTCTACCTTTTTTTTTAATATTTATACATCATGTAATCGTTGATGAAATACTAGAAAATTATTGTCTTCCTCATTAATGATAATTGATCACTTTATAAAAAGATCAATGTCAATGTCATTAAAATTATTATAATCTGTAACACAATTTCCATGCTGTCACAGAGTAAATTTATCTCAGAAAACTTGACTGTTATTATTTTTACTGTTGTTAGTTGTTACTTGTTACAAAATAGAAAATTTAGTTTTAATTTCTTATTTTCTTTATTACTAATTACCATTTATTTTTTAACGTTTTGTTTTCTTACCTAAATCTACTAAGATGATGAATCAATATATAAAAGAATTGGAACAAGTAAGTTACTTTTGTCGTAAATACGGCAATCAGTTTTTTATTTCCTCGTATATAAGACATACGAGGAAATAAAAAACTAATTAAAATCAACAAATTATAGGATCCATTCGATCCAGATGAATTTGTAGAGAGGATGGTCCGACGCAGCATGCAGGAATCAAAACTCAAGGACGATCAATTTGACCCAGAGATGATACATGATATATTTACTCAAGCCATACAAGATTTGAAGGTAAAAATTTACTTCACATTTCTAATAATTAATAATTTCAATTTGTTAATAATAACAACGCAGCAGTGGGATACAAATTGGGCTAATAAACATTGTAACATGAAGTCATTGAATATGTTTAGGTGTTGCAAGAGAGACAGGAAAGGAAATGTGCCAGATTAGAACAAGCAGTGCAAGAAGAAGAGAAATTGTATAGCACCAAACTCTCTGATATTATGGATCAGCATACAGTAAGTTTTTACACTACATTGTTTTAAAAACAAAAATTCAAACCAACTAATGGGTAACATGTTTGAAGACCAAATTAATATTATAAACGCAATAATTTGTTTGTTTGTTAGTCCTTCATATCTCAAAGACAACATTTATTATTAACTTTAGTATATACTTCTAACATTGACATTAGCAAATTCATTGGAACTGCAATGGCACTATAACATGAAATAAAATAAACTCGTTCTTTGACATCACATTTCTGTTGGAGAAGGTAATAAGTTATGCCATTTAACAAATAATTTTGAAGGATTATTTTTTTATACCTTAATTTGTTTAAATTTAAATATAATAAAACCTTCTTAAGAAAAACAGTTAAAAAAATGTAATCATTAAACTTCATATCCTTTAATTATTAACTTCAGGACTGTGTAAATGTGTTCAGCACATTGGATGAGCGGATGTCCAGATGTGGAGGTCGTGCATTAGATGTTGGAGAGAAACTTGGTGCAGCTAGAGCCCCGCGAGCCAGAGCAGCAGCAGCCAGGGACCTCCTATCACACCTAGCACACTTCTTAAATCCTCGACCAGTACTTACAGACATATTTACTGATCCAAGCAAAGTGAGTACAACAACATGTTCCCATATTAATGGTATAAAGCAAAGCCAGTGTTGCTGACATCTTTCGGATACAGTGGTTACTTTTTCTAACTGACTCAAGAAGGCTTGAAAGTTGTCTCCATGGCTGCCTCTGTCCTACTTATTTCAGCTGCCAAACTGCTTGCTCTATAAGCTGAGTTTTCATTTAATGGGCAGTGAAATTATTGGTTTGTAACCAAATTACTGGTTACCACAACTGTAACCATGATGAGGTGATATTCATGATGCAGTTTGCGAATATAGGCAATAGGCATTACTGACGGCTCTCCAGTAATCATGATGGGATTATTTCTGAATCCAGTTATATTAAATAATCATATTTGTTTCTTATACATAATATTAGTATGTTTATTATAGCTACATGAAGCGGCAGATGTAATTCAAAAATTGCATACTATTGCACAAGAACTACCACCAGACAAATTTGAAGTGGCACAAAAGAATATTGATGTCAAATATGATGAGATAGAGAGAAACCTCATCGAGAGTTTTGTGAAAGCACAGACCCAAGGAAACTTGAACAAGATGAAAGAGATAGCCAATATAATGACCAACTTTAGAGGATATCCTAGATGTGTTGATGCATTCATTGAAACTAGTCAAATGGTAAGTTGATAGAGCTGTCCTAAGGGTGTTGGTCCTATCCCTTTCCTAATTGCTTCCTTACACATTGTTTGAAGAGCTGGCACCGGTTCTGGGTGCTCTTATATATATTATAATATAATATTACCACTGGGTAATCACTTATATTATTAAAAAATATGGTAATCAGAACTCATGATGACATTTAGCAATTACAACTTGAAGTTACATCATGAGGTTTTTAGTGAAAAAAAAAAATTCCACTCACCGCTCCACCCTTCCTCTCATGTGTTTGCAAGATTTCAAACATTAAAAAAACATATTATTAATGCTAGCTAGCTACTATTAGCTAGCTGGTTATGGTTTTGCAAATTGTTTATTGAATATATCATATTACATTAGAATATATAGATTAAAATTCTATATGTATATTTAGTTTGAGCTGCCAGTATGTCAGCAGCTCAAACTAAATATACATATAGAATTTTATGAGAAAACCAAATAAATCAATTTATGCCTCTGAATGTTTGTTAGTTCATTTGTGTATATATATTAACATACACAAATCAGGAGCATACATATTTCCAATGTTTATCAATAAGGATAGGTTTCAAAAGTAAACTAACTGGTATGAACTTTATTGACCTCGATTTATTCCTGTACCATAATGGTTGTTATTAAATATTTTTTACAGAATAGTTTGTTAGGGAAGGACATCTTCTCGTCGGTGTTGCCACTATGCCAAAAGAATTATACTATTATCAGCAATGTATTTCCAAACCCAGAGCAAGTATTAAGCAAGTTTGTGTTGAACATTTTCCATTTAAATCTACAAAAGTATATACAAGCAAAGCTGGCTGATAAAAATGATGTTGATAAATACTTGAGAAATTTATATGACATGTACACCAGGTAAGAGAATATTACTCTATTTTTATTTAAATGTTGAACACTTACCATAATATAGTTGTAATCTGACTGTTGTAGTGTATGTATAATTATGAAAACAATTAAATGTTCAAGAAATGTTTGATACAGATTTCAAATATTTAAATTTATAACATGTAATATAATGGTACAAGTAGATTTTATTCCATAATGTCCATGTAAGTCACAATGGAAATCCATTACAGTTATTAAAAAAAAATATATAAGTTCATTATCAATATTTACAAAACAAATTACAGCACTCAACGCGTATGTGATGAACTCGTCGCCGCTGGTTTAGTATCAGCTGAAGGCAACAGCAGTATTGGAGACCTTCGACGCGAAGCTTTGGTTGATGGTGCAATGGCCGGCGCCAATGATGGCTATCCAGCTTTGGAGAATCGACGATTGAAGGCGGCACTCTCTAATGCTCTTAATGTTTATTACTCAGAAAAACAGCATATTAAGAAGCAGATACAAGGAGGCGGGTGAGTCTTATATGATTAGTTAATACTGCTTTATTTTTACTTAAAGCTCTACAAAATTGTATGTTGTACCGAATACTTAATTTTACATTGATAGGTAAATTATGTTAGTAAAACATCCTACTGTAGCACAGCATGCATTGTTTAATTTGTACAAACACAAAATGAGTCCTGTATATAAATAATTTTGTGCGAACATAAGACAATGTTCTACATAATAATAAACTGTATAATCGAAGTAGACATTGTACTTCTGTCTTACCTATTTCACCGCCAATCATCTTGCTTGGTTAGCTGTGTTTTGGTTGAAGGGAGATAGATAAGGCACCTCAATTACGGTATCGAATTACCGAACAGAGCACACGGGTATTTTAGTCATCCTTAAACGCGTGAAGTGGTACAATAAGATATTGTCGTGCCGTCTCATGTATATGAGTGATAATGGGGACTTTCATTAGGTAGGCTACCATCTTATTTGCAAGTAATAATGTTTTCTGTCTGTGTGAAGTGTTTCATTATCCGTTTGTACAGGTTCTGATTGAATTGATCCTAAATAACAAGTCTCAAAACGCTACTAACAGTAATTATGTTTTTCTATTAGTTTCCAAGAGCTGCGCCGCGACCTTCAGGCGGTGATAGGCACGCGTGCCAATATAAATATCGCCCAAATAGAAAATTACGGTGGCGAGACTTTTCTCAGTGAGCAGTTGGTGAACAAAATGCTCAACGACGCGAAAACATCCTTCTTAAGGTGTAAAACGGTAAGACAACTATAATTTACATATAAAGTAGCTAGCTAGTTGACCCATCCATGCGATACAGTGACGCTGTAGTTTTGCTATTGAGGTTAATAAAAACTATCCAATCATTAAGTTGGACCTAATTACACACAGTGAACCTAATTTTACACAATAGTCCTGAGATTTATTTATATAAAATGTTTGTCCCTAAGTTGTTAAGATAAATATAGTTTATTATTGAAATTGTTTACATTTTTATTTATAGTTCACATGTGAGCCCTTTACAACTCTACCGAGGTAGACTAAGATGTCTAATGCCGTTTGATTTGTGTGTTGTTTCGGTTGAAGGGTAAGATAAGGCAGAAAAATTAGTATCTAGGACATCACATGATAACTTGAGTACTATACGTAGTTCTGTTCATGTATATAGGCGATCCTTACCACTTACCGTGGTGAAAAATACGCCCGGTTCTCTGTTTTTAGATTATAATAATGTAGAAAATAAATCGTATATACATATAAATATATATGTATATTTATCGTAAACCATTAATATTACAGCTATGTACACCGAATGAATTGCCCGGGACGACCGTAGCTCTGTTGGAGGCGTTGGTTCAACATTTACTAATAGAACATGTTGACTATGCCCTTGATCTTGGACTTCAATCAATACCGATTGCTGAAAGCAAATCACCACCACAGGTAAATATAATGATCAAAAACATTACACCCGGAAGAGCCTTTTTAACATCATTTTGGGCCTGTTGTATTTCATGAGTTCTAAACGGTTAGACTGTTTTATCTTTACGCTTGACGGTATGGGCAGAGAATTTTTAACCATGTATGAATATAAACATAATATCGCGTGTAATTTAGAACATTGCGTTAAGTCGAAATGTTTATTAACTACAAACATTCGAAATATTTATGATCAAGTTCAAAATTGCTCTATCGGAGTCGCGGATTAGATTGTATAAATATATAATTCTGTCTGTTTGTAAACATAAAATTAGTATTAAAATACTTCTGCACTTCAAAGTAAATACAGCTACAAAATTATTAAAATTAGAAAAAAATATATTGGATATAAACTTCTTATAATGAATTAGAAAAAAAACATTTTTGTTATTAAATAATATATAACATTAATATTGTATATAAATATCCAATATTCCCATTATTTTACAGATTTATTTCTTCGATATAGTGAAGCAAGCTAACGCGATTGTTAAGTTGTTCGGTGAACATTTTCAAGAATCAGTGTTACCTTGTTTGAGGTACGTATTTATTCTCTACATCACAGAGTTCTGTCGTGATTAAATGCGGAGATATTTTGTTTTATTAGAATAATATTTAACAATTAGAAAGACAAAACTGTGAGTCTACCTATCAAAATATTTTAGTGCCATTATTTTCTAATTTAAGTTGCATTTATCTTTTTATTAAAACAATATAATTATGAAGTCTTATGGAATTCAATATAATAAATATTTTTCTTTTATGTAATTGTCAACAAAGAAGCTAACATAAAAATTTTTGAACCTAATTCATTTATGAACTCCAGCTACACATAGTAAATATGTTAGTATATATTTATGTCGGTTAGAGTCAGTCTACTCTTGAAACTTATTGGCATTAGATTGCGCATTTTCGTACCGTTTTGTACACTTGAATAATACAGTAAGAATATGTTAATTACATATTTAGTAGTTAACGAAATAGGTTATCGATTTGGCCGATTTAAAACGATATCGAGAGACTTTCAAGTAGACCTACTGATCATTAATTAATGAAAAGTAATAAAGGGCTATTCTAATATAGTTTTTTATTTAACAGTTCAACTTCAAAGCAAAAAGAGTGCGTCCAGCGTAAAACCACTATAATGGAACAGCTGGAAAATAAATTGGACGCAGGATTAGAGCGAGCTATATCAGCAATAGTAGGCTGGGTGAAGCTGCATTTGCAAACGGAGCAGAAGAAAACTGATTACAAACCAGAGGGTGATATCGACACGCTCGCTTCACCTGTGAGTAAATAAAATTTTTATTCAAAGTTAAAGTAATTCTACTGAAGTCGCTGGTATATTATACTTGCTATTACCTGCAACTATTTCTGCATCTTTCATCCTCTATTTCACACCCTTACAGATTATTTTTTAAGATAGAATTGAGAATGAGCTGCAGAGGAATATCTATACCCGTCCTGCTGATATAGTGGGATGATGTATCGGCGTTACCGTGTCAGGAGTCCATGCCACAGAGACAATTTATATTTACACATATTATTACAGCTTGTGTATGTTACTCTACAAGATATTTATAATATGTATGTATGCTGAAATAAATAAAAAAACATTAAACAATCTATATGCAGGTCAAATTTCACTAGGATCCTTTCTGCTGTTTATTCATTAAAAGGAAATGCAACACAGACACCAAGTCGTCTGCCTGAGGTATCCCTCTGATCTATTTAAGCCTTCTAGCAGATTGTTTTGTAAGCTGTTACGGTTTAACGGATGTTATATGGCATTGAAACAACAGGTATGACATCCAATTCCTTATATCTTATATGATGGTACATTACGGACATCATAATGGCGACGTGACTACCCTCATGTGTTTCAACTTGTTTGCTATTCTAGTTACAATGAAAAAAAGGGACAAATTCTTATTTATTACCTACTATATAATATTTACGTCCTCTAGGCATGTACAGCTGTAGTATCATACCTCAATTCTGTGATGGAGAAGATTCACAACGGACTGGAGGGTGAGAATTTGAACGCGGTCACTGTCGAACTAGCAATCCGGCTCCACCGCGTCATATACGAACACTTGCAAAACTTCCAGTTCAACTCAGCTGGTGAGTTCAACCTTTATCCTATTATTTGGGATCGGCGTAGTATGTCATCCTCTTCCCCTGATCCTTATCGGCCGTCATAACTGAGCAATCCATCCAACTTTTTTTCTGTCGTCCTCTCCCCTTCCATCCTTTTATGTTCATGTTATATAGCTGGTGAGTTAGTCCCTTAGTTTTTAATGATTTGTCAGGCACGTTCCTGAAATCCCTCTTCAATTAATGACGACAATAATATAGTATCAATAAAGCGATAAACTCCACCAATTTTAAAAATGATCGTCAAAGTTAATTTATTTACAGTATGTGGTGACTGTTATAACATATCAATGTTAGAATCTAGACATTTTCGATTGTTATATCAATTCTAGACTTTAGATAGTGATAGTATTCATAAAACTAAATAACTTTCCCAAAAAACTAGTTTTAACTCAAAACAAAACAAAAATAAATCCGCCAGACGGCGCGCCAATACGCAACGTTCGATGCAAACATACCATGCTAATATGCAAATTAAGTGTTGTTTTTACCCTATGTCGACGGTGGAAAATGTCTTTGGCTACTCCATCTAGGATAACAGTGATGATATTTATTTAATATACAGGCGCGATGATAGCCATCTGCGACGTGAAGGAATACCGTTCGGCGGCATGTGGGCGTGGTTCGCGCGCCACTCCACCGCCCGCGCACGCACTCTTCGACGCGCTGCACGCACTTTGTAACCTACTACTTGTCAAGCCAGAGAACCTGCACCAAGTCTGCGAGGGAGAAACCTTGGTGAGTATTTTTAGATTTCGTCCACATTACTTTTTATACTGGACTTGGTATATTTTTGTCAATTACGTAAATAGAAACACTATGCTATTCAACACATGCAGAATTTCTGCATTCTCTTCGCAGGCTACTCGTATGATGCCTTTTTTTATTCTAGTCACAGTACATAAGCCGCCATCTTGTGCCCCAATATTCTGGAAATACCGGAAGTGATAACAATACGTAATCAAACTAGAATTACTTAGTATTGATTAATACTTTCTATGAGAATACAGTAAAAAATTTACCCTCCACGTTATTTCTACCTCGGCGTACGTTTACTATCAAAGCTGCACTAAACGTTTATATGTATTACTGCTACTACTATTTATTGCACTGCATTGCACTCCTGCGGACGTGCTTCAGGACGTGGACTTCTGGAGATATATGAACTGAGAGCATATTAACTATTTTGTTATGTCGAATTACAACTACAGCTTAAGACAGTCGGGAAAGTGTCATATCTATTGGTTTCTTATCAAACAATATTAATTTAAATTAACATTTTAATAATAAAATGATTTTGTTTTTAAACTTTCGTGTTTAATATACATTATTTATATTATTAAATTAAATACCTTTATTTGCCATAAAATTAGTTCGTGTTAAGATCCGATTAATAATAATAATATAAATAAAATTATTTTGTTTTTATATGTATCTAACTTTTATGCACTTTTTTCCACACGGTAAAAAAACTCAATATATAATTTCTAAATTATGAATAAGCATTAAATTCTAGATGCCTTAACGGATAAAAAAATATTGTGGGTTCTAATTACAATCACTATGTATTTTATGTATGTTAATAGATTCGTTGACAGTTGTAAACAACACAACGTCAACTGTCGACGAATCAGTTTATATTCTGAAAAACTGTTTGCAGGATAAAAAACAAATGTTCATAAATATCTTCTTGAATTATAGACATAAACACTTAAATAATATCACAGGTGTCACAGATATTTTATGACCACTGCCCCTTACCGTCAGGTGGTTCTTTAGGTTTTTTCCATTCCAGTAACACAGTGTTTAATGGCCATCTTACTAATATTATAAACGCGAAAGTTTGCGAATATGGATTGAAAGCTTGTTACTCTTTCACGCAAACACTACCAAACGGATTTTAATGAAACTTTACAATAATATAGCTTATAAATCAGAATAACATATACATAAAATTTAAAAAGATATGTAAATTGGGCGAAATGTAATGATAAATGGCAAGTAAGTGTGATGCAGACGAAGTTGCGCGGGTCAGCTAGTACTTAATAAGAACATAATTACTGCACTCTTTATTCTATAGCGGAACTCATCTCAAACGAGGTCCATTTAAGCGTCTACAACACGACACCGCTATTATGCGGAATCTGTATGTAGGCCTTATATGTATAGATCGATGTTAAACGCAGACTCTGTGGTAACTTCAAAGAAATGAGATTACGAAGCATTCCTTTTAGATATAATAAATGGTATCTAACTGTCTCTTTTTATGATCCTTACATTGAAATTGTGCTTTATTTTCAAATGATTTCAAGAAGCGAGAAGTAGACTAAATTTAGTTCTTAAATTTTTATTAATTCTGTAAGTTTTTTTAACATTCAATTTAGGTTGGTACTGGATGGCGATAAAGATAATGAATAAAATCCATCCCTATCTCCTTTGTAGAGTTACCAGCTATTACCCGCAACTTCTGTATGAACGTTTAGTTGTGATAAGATTACAAACAGACTGATATACACACTTTGACATTTATTATATTAGTTGGATTTTTTTATGTTATTGAACTGTTGAAAAAGTTGATGTGCTATCAACCTGATGGTAAACGGTAATTTATATACACATAACTAAGATTTTATACTACTATATTATGACTATATTATAACTACGATCATAATGACACCTGTGACATACCACTCATGCGCGGCATTCCAAAGGACTCCAAATGTCAAGCCTCATATCCTGTAATTTTACTGCCTAATATCTCTCTGAAATTTGAAAATGTAGGTACATTTAAATATTTAGGTAGTATGATTACCAGTGACTCCAGATGTACTAAGGACAATATCAGAATAGCTATAGCGAAAAGAACATTTAATGATAAAAAACATCTTTTGAGAGCTAATATATCAAAGTCCTCTCGGAAACACCTTATCAAGACCTACATCTGGAGTATAGCCTTGTATGCCTGTGAGACGTGGACATTGACACAAAAGGAAAGAGACAAACTGGAAGCCTTTGAAATGTGGTGTTGGAGAAGAATGGAAAGAATTAGCTGGAAAGATAAAATAAGGAATGAAGAAGTGCTTGAGAGGATTAAAGAAAAGAGACAGATCATAGATATTATTGAGAATAGGCGGGGAAAAATGTTGGGGCACTTGATACGACACGACGAACTAATTAACAACATTATAGAAGGAAAAATAGATAGAAAGAGAGGAAGGGGAAGACCAAGACACAGCTATATCAAGCAAAGAAGTTAAAGAAAAAGTTGGAGTCGTGTCGTATCAACAGCTAAAGGGACTGATAGAAGATCGTGGAAGGTGGCGGGAGCTCCACCGACAAGAGCACAGCTCTTAAATTATGAATGAATGAATATCTCTCTACAAGCGAAACATATCTTACAAAGCAAGTTACTAAGCGGCTTAAATAGGTGAAACTGAGCTATCCAAGCAAACGCCTTTTTAAAAAGTCTACTTCAGATTTCTATTTATAATAATATTAAAATTCTATAACATTTACAATACATTTTTGACTGCCTCGGTGGTCTAGGGGTTTAGCACACCGCCACGCTTCCAATGGTCGCGACTTCGATTCCTCGCACGATACAGAAATTTGTATTCATGGTTATGATCATTTGTATCAGTCTGGGTGTTTTCTATAATTATATTAAATATTTATAAAATACAAGTACATCTATGTATTAGTATCAGCATTCAGATTTGCTTAGCTTCGGAGTAGATGGCGTTGTATGAATTGTCCTGAGATATCATATTATAATATTCATAACATAACTTTATTCCACAGGCGGAGTTGGATCGTTCCATCTTGCTTAACTTCATACAACTGCGCTCCGACTACAAGAGTCACAAGCTCTCCAGCTTTCTGAAGGGACTGTCGTAATTAACATTTAATTCATTAATTAATTAAAAATATATTTATATACTATTATTGTATATTTTGTTATGTTACATACTCATATTATATTTAAACCAAAAGAAGTATTAAAGTTGTACTTTTCAATTGTTGTTTTCGTTTTCAGAACAAATCTAAGGATTTTAACTGACATTAATGTCTGTTTCTGGTTGTCTTAGAGAATTTAAATGTATTTAAGGTTATAAGGAAAAAATACAGATTGGGACGTTATTCCTTAAAATATAGGCTGTAGAGCACACAGTACTTATGGTAGAGAAACAAATTTAAAACTAGATATAAACTAACTAAACTAAACCAGTTTACATCTAATTTAGACAATTGTTATTGTTATAGAGATAAACATGAGGTATTATAGAAAACATTGAGTTTTATATTCTATTCTCTTTTCAGTAATGCAAAGAGACTGACTGGCCTCATACTTATTTTTCATGAAAGGTAATCCCGTTTATACTGATAATGTGTGCTGGTCAAGTTAGTCATGGCAACTTAACCACCTATTTTCTAAATAGGTCCACGTGGAGATCGATCTGCACGTATGTATTGCTAACAATGGACCTGATAGCCTTAGGAATCCCTTCAGATATTTAGACTAACTGTCCTCTAAATATTGTATTTAAGTATACCTGTCGCCTATAAATGATAATGCTTGCTCTCTCATATTACATTATACCTATTTATTGAGATGATGTACTTCATTCACCTTGTTTGTTTGTAACACATCAATTGATGACATACGAGTAATTATTAGCTGTTTGATTCATTAGATGACAGCGTTGTCAGCATTATAGGTGTGTCACGAAATAAAAAGAATCTAATATTGATTCATATCTATATTACAGTGAATGCCTACTCAATATGAATATTCAGCAATGTAAATTAATAGAGGGCACTACGCAGTTAATGTTTACAATACATATAAGCTTAATAGGCAATTCTCTAAACAGACGTCTCACAGCAACCTCACTTTTAGATTTATTTGGGACGAGCAAACATCTAGTATTTATCTGGGTTATATTAGTCGGTCTTATAGTTGAGCATATATTTCGTAACGGCTTCCAATTTCGCTTACATCACCACACCAGTGACAGCTTTTCGCCGGAACGCCGTATCACAATGTTAACGCTTGCATGGCGTTATCAGCGGTATCTATACGAGCACTACGTCCATTCATAAGTTCTCCCCACCAACGAGCAGTTTATTTGAATGGACGCATGTGTGTGCGTGCCGCGCGGGCGCACCTACGCCGCACTCGACAACAGTACCGAACCGACAGGCCGGCCGCTCCGTCCTGCCGAACGGCCGCGATCTATACTCCATACTAACCGCGCTCAAAACAGTGTTATCACCTCAAGTTCTGTGCACCATTAAACATTTCGTCTCTTTTAACTGTGTGCCGTGACAATCTCGCTAATCTGGATAATATCAAAATCGAGAGGTAAGAGTCGCTGTAATGTTTATTTTCATTCAAGCCCGACGCCTACGCGCCGTGTTCTGTCGCGATTTGAGCGACGAATTTACATGTTATAAAGTTCATTCATTGAATTAGACCTTATATTATCGGCATACGTGCGATATGAATAGATGATTAGGGCTTCTTATTGTAATGACTCGGAGAATCGAGACAAAGATTGATTCATGGTGACAGCATATAAGTGATGTATGGCAATACCAGGCGCATCATTCGATCATAGTGATATGCTGCATTTGGTTTTTGGTTGTGTGCAATATGTTATAGATTTGTTTTGTTGGGCGAGCGTTATCTAGGTGAGAGCGAGGTGCGTCCGTTTCGTTTCAAGTGTTTTTATCCCGGCGCTACCTGAGTGCCGAGTCGAGTGAACTCGTCTCGTCGCCACTAATGGTATCGATGCGCATAAGTATCAAACCACACCTTCGAACGAGTTGCAATACTATTTCATTGCTTTTTGTATTCAGTAGACGAGTTTATTTCTGGACGTGCATTAAGATTCCACAGCTCACATTAGTATCTTCAAGTTTGCTTCGCAGAATACAGAGTGATGGCGGTTATAGTTTATATATGTACATGTTTATTTATTCGGTTATATCTGACCGCAATTATTAATTATATCATACAAGACATAATTGTTGGACAATAGATAAGATTACTGTACAATGAATTAAAATATTTATGGTTGTGTTTACAGTTGCATTGTGACTGTTTCATTTAATAGAATTAAAATTATAAACCGAGGAAACTTGGACAATCATATAAGAACTTTAGAAAGGTAACGATTAGTTAACTGACCACATCGTAATAATTAACACACAATCTGCTATCACTACATACTGAAAAAAATACTAAATATACTGATCTGGCAATAGAACTATAAATACAATGGCAGGTAGAAACAGTGAAAACTCTCCCAAATGTTATCTCGTCTGCTGACATCCTTACACACTAGCCTCAAGATTACTTCACCACTTAAAGGTGACATACACTCATATTTCTCCAAAAATCTTTCTCCAAAAATGTGATACTAAAGACCTATAGAAAAGTCCGCATATTTTTGTCTTCGATTCAGAGAAATATTCATAATAATCAAGAAATTATTATGTCATTGTTTGGTGATTTTTACCCGCACAGAGAAGTCTATCACCGCATCAAAAGGAGTATACAAAAAAGTAATAATAATGTTCCAGAACAATTCGAACAGCGCCATCTAGTCCCAAGCTAAGCAGAACTTGTGTTATGTACTAAATAACTGACATTCATACATTTTTACAAAACAAGTCAAGGCCACTGTGTCTACGATTAATCATGATTTGATTTTTCCATATAATTTCTCTATCTTATCTTCCATCTAGGTATCTTATGGTCTACAGTTTAGCACACCGCTCTATTTCCGATGGTCACGGGCTCGATTCCTGCATGTTACAAATATTTGTATTCGAATATGATTGTTCGTATTGGTTTGGATGTTTTCTGTGTAGGTATATTATGTAAGGTACTTATTCTTAAGGGTGATAATAGAATAGTGTACCTTCTTGCATTATCGTTATACACTGGCATCAGCTGAGCATGTTAGAATAAGTATAAGCTCATGTTAGTTAGCTCATCGTTATTCACTAGAAATTAACTACAATAGTTTCTAGAAGGGATCGTTTCTCCCTGTCCAAAATTTGATAGATGTTAATTTGGGAGTAGAACACGGGATGTGAATTGTTCTGAGTTAAAAAAATGACAGGCATCAACAAATAATGATCAGGCCATCACCTCTAGATTAGGTTTTAGACTTCATGAAATTGACTTACGCAAAACGTTGGCAGTAATGGACACCTAAGGATTTAACTGCAAACAATGATGTAACGTTAGTTAATCACAGGCGACACCTACCATAATACTGAACAGGTTTTATTAGTACTAAGTGGTTAAGTATAAGACAAAAAACCCAATATCGATACACCTGCTACTGAAAAACAAAATTAATCCCATTTTTACACATTCGTAATTCAGTCACACTTTAATATTGTTTACTTTCTTGTGTAAATGCAATTGGAGCCTAAAATGTATTATGTTTTTTATTGATTACGTTAGGTATATATCAATTTTGGAAAGATTACGTTACTACAAATTACAGAGCATAGCAAATAATCGAAAAAAGTTATGTATTACACATTTAAGCTGTGACAGCAGACGAATATTACAAGATCTACATAAGAAAATTTCCAAGGTAAACTTTGTACCTGCTGTTAATTAATTACTTAATTGCTTTGTAAGCTCTGTTGCTATTGAAGGGTGAGATATAACTGTGAAAGTACAGGGTAGGGAGGCACGACTGCTTAGTCCTCAGGTCCTCTGATAATGCGTGAGAGGTACCACCAGCGTCACATGATGACATCCACAGCATCTGAACAACTGCATGAAGTTTGTAGTTGCCATTATAAAAATCTACATTCTTATTATTTTTAATGGCAACCATGTCATAAATACAGCTTATCAAAGATATTTGGGTTTATATTAGGTAGGTACAGACATGTGTTGCGTTAAAAAATAAATGTGTTATTTGATAAGGAAGGCTGACATAATCCAGTTTTATTGAAGATTAATGGGATTGTTATATCTTTGAATGTCTATTGATCCGGTCCGGAAACGGACGTGAACGATAACAAAAATAAAAGGACAAAAGAAATAATAATATATTGGCTCCTAATTAGGTTAATACTATATTATTACATGCATTGTGTTTTTTGCGGAGTATACAGGTTTTTAATTATTTCAAACTTTTAATCTTATCAATTTTTATCGTTAAATGTAGTTCTGGTTTATAGTAATTTTAATAATTCGAAGAGTTTGTTTACTAGCTATGACCGCGGTTTCAGCCACATGAAGTTTGTAGCCTATGTGTTATTCTGATGTATTACTATAAAGTTACTTCAAAATACGTTCAGTAGTTTTTGCGTGAAAGAGTAACAAACAGCCATCTATACTCACACACTCCCACGTTTATAATATTAGTATTATAATTTTAGTAAGATAATAAATTAAAATCTAAAATAAATTTTATTTTGTTGTTGTAAGTGTACTTACAATTGTTCCGAGTTTGGAATAAAAAAATCGTTACGTTATTGTGACAATTTTTTCTATTGCAAAGAAAATTTAATGCATATACATTTGTATTAGTTTCAAAAAATAATATTATTACAATATAGATATTAGACAATATTCAGTAGAATATAATCCAAGATGCATAAGCATAGTTTTCAAGAAAACTCGTGAAGGTCGCTTTTACAGGATATATTGTTAGCGATGGGGTTAATCCTTCCCATTTATTCTAAAACTGAATTTCTTCTCTCCTACGGTGGCACTATATCTACCTACCTACTTGTCACCTTGAGAGTCTGTTGCTCGGCTAAACACACGTAAACCTAATCGTACGATTAGATACCTAACTTTAATACTAGAAAATCAATCTAAACTGTAATCGGTCAGTGATCGCTACTCAGTGGATGGTATACGATAATTATTATGACAAATTTTAAAATTAAATTTATATCAAGTGATATATATACACTTTGATTGAAATTCAAAAATGGGACTA